TGGATGAATGGATGGATGGATGGATGGATGGATGGATGGGTGGGTGGATGGATGGATGGATGGATTATACAGCAATCGAAAGTGAGATACCAGCTATCACAACCCTTAGATAATAAATGGCATTATAAAGCAGTGTATTGAAAGTCTTATTACATACAGTATATCCAAACATACCTAAGCAAGTCTTTCTGTCTGGTGACAAGTAATAGCCATGCCAACACGAACATCGGTAACTACCGGGTAGGTTTTGACATCTCTGGCTACACCCTCCGTTGTTCCTCAGACATTCATTATCATCTAGGGCAATAAATATAACAGGTGTAGTATTCTTTTAGGACGCTGGTGTGGTGAAGTGCGGTGTGATGTGGTGTGAAATGTTTGCATATTGTCAGTAGAGTAATGTTTTAGTATTGTGTGGTGTTGTGCATACAGTCTGTAGGGACTGCTTTAGATAATTCCTTGACGTATATTGTAGTGTGCTGTGATGTGATTTAGTGTTTTGTGGTGTGGTGTAGTGTGGTGCACTGTAGTAAACTGTGGTGTGGTCTGGTACATTGTGGGGCGGGATGTGGTGTAGTGTGTGTGTGTGTGGGGGGGGGGGGGGGGGGGGGGGGGGGGGGGGGGGGGGGGGGGGGGGGGGGGGGGATGTAGTGCAGTGTGGTTTGGTGTGGTTTTGTAGTGTAGTGCACTGTAGTGTACTGTGGTGTGATGTAATGTGGTGTAGCTGTAGTTTAATGTGGTGTGTTGTTGTGTGGTGTGGTGCAATGCAGTATAGTGCAGTGTAGTGTAATTAAAAACCCATGCCTTACCAATGCACACATCCTGATTATGGCCAATGAATCCTCTCGGGCACTCACACTCGTAGCTTCCAAGTGTATTTCGACACTTCGATGAACCCTTACATATCCCAGAATACAACGCGCATTCATCAATATCTGTTCAAAATACGAAAATAATGTAAGTGCATTGTCGTTCGTATAACTATTATTTACCTTTGAAAGTAAAACTTACCAACACATGTTCTAAGATTAACGTCTAATCTATACCCCTTTGCGCATGAGCAGAAGTAGCTACCGGGAATATTGAGACATTTATGATGGCAGCCATGTGATCCAGTCTTGCACTCGTCTTCATCTTCAGTACAAGATAATCAAAACGTTAAAATCAACAATAAAATAGAAGTGAATTTCAATATTTAATTTCAACGACAAGGAATGCCTTGTAATTCCGATTTGTACAATCAACGGAGAACAGTCAAAACGAAGTCGGTTCTTCCGAAAAAGTGGGCCTAAATTTATCACCCAAAATGTTTAGATTAGCGAATTCTCAAAGTTAAATAAGATTCCAAAATTAGTTCCAAAAGAGAAATACAGGCATTCATTCCGAGCATTCTGAAGCGAGAGGCATGCGTACAGACCTGAGCAGGAGATGCCATTCTCGTCCAACGTAAACCCCGGACTACATGCACAACGGTATCCTTTAGGAGTATTGAGGCAGTTGTGATGACACACGCCTTTATACAACGAGCATTCGTCTATCTCTGCAAAGCATTATACGCACATGCAATCATTCACAACATGCAATACTGGAGTGACATGCAGAACATTCTGTTCTATCCTAATCGCTTGGATTTGGTTTCTCATGCAAGGCGTGCAAACTTTACATACCGATGTTTAAGTATATTGTAGTGTGTGTACAATCTTTTAGCAAGAAAGAAAGAAAGCTCTTTCGTTTGCTACTTCACAGGGAGAAGAGAAGGGCTTTCATGATATAGTGCAATACTTTGAGCCTTGCTCTATATAGACCTCTTTACATTGGGTGTAATGTTTTCCCATTTCAGACAAAAGAGCAAGGAGGTCATTAAGCACAATTCAAAGCAATTAAACCTGAATTATAGCCAAAATCGTGACGAAACGTCAAACTCGGTTTTCCCTAATATTCGCAACGAAATAGAATCATTACCATTTTCACCCCAATTCAGACCACGAGCCATCCCCTTGAGTATTATTTCCTTGTCTCACAAAAGGTTTGATATAGGAAAAATTATTCATAGCTCAATTGTTTATTGAGAGTTTTATTGTTCATGGCCTCTAAAGTACGACAGTCTTGTGTGAAATCGCAACTAAATCATGAGGGTTAATTAATCTGTCACTGGTTTCATTAGTAAACGGATGCACGACTCACCTATGCAATGGCCATTTCTTCGTGTCATTCCTTTTGGGCACGGGCAGTTAGGGCAGCGGTCAAAACATGCGATGTCATTCACAGAACAGTTGAGTTGTTCCTCTGTCAAGTCAATGACAAAAAAGGATATTACAAACTATAACATTTGATTTTCTTTCAAGCTATTCTGATTTTACCCTATAAACATTTCCCCCGTTCTCTATCCAATCACAAGCCTCATCGTAAACAAATAGAGCAGGTCACTTGCCGTGACCGTGATATTACTGTCTAAGCAATACGATTGAATGAGAAGTGTCGTCGCGGACTGCGATTGGCTCAACGGATATCGTCAATCCTGTAAGGTCTTGGTATAGCGTTCACATTTGCAAAGAATCTAGTATGTAAAACAAGAAAAACTTCGACTCTAAACAGCTCATTTTAGCTGCCTCATGCTATCATGTCTGATTCTCGTGGTGATAATATACCTTTGCAACTGAGTTTATCTGTTTGGATGGAGTATCCTTTCTTACAAGTACAGTAGAACGAGCCTGGTGTATTGTGACAGTCGTGGTCACATGGATAGTACTCGCATTCATCCAAATCTACCAAGAGAACACAACAGATATTTCCATTAGTAGATATTCCTGATACTGTACTAACGCCTGTATGGATTAACTTCGCCTGGAGCTCTGAACTGCTCCCCTCCCCCTCCCGAGGTGTCGCACTAGACCACGACCCTTAAGTGCGCCCATCCCTTTAGCCATGGAAATGAGTGTCTAGAATATCTTACCTACACAACTGAAGCCATTATCATGAAGGATAAACCCCTCTCGACACGTGCACTTGACCAAGCCCCTTTCTCGTGTGCAGGAATGTTCACATTGATTCCCGTTACTGATGCATATGGGCTTCAATTCATCTGACGGGTTTTTATTTTCTGTAAACGAAACAATGAGAAAATGGATGAGATTGGTGAACCATTGCAGATATGGTAGACATTTAAATTCGAAGCGCTTCTCATTTTACTTGTAACTCCTGGGAATAATGTTGTCAGGAATTTATTTATTTACAATAATATCTAAACAGGATACTTCTTCACTATAGAGATTTTCAAGAAGGTCCTGTAAATCCAATAATGTAACAAAATTGAGTTGTGCAAAATATTGATGGGACGAAATACAAGTTAAGTGTACTGATCGAGGTTATATTACTTTGCCAAATCTCCTAGACTTTTATAGTTGTCTGACCCTATATTTAAGACTCTTGTTTTTTCCCCTCTTCTCTCATAAAGCCGCTGAACTCACAATTTATCAATAATCCCAATTCACACCGTCGTTCACTCTCATTAATTCTAAAATAAAAAAACAACTATTTAATTCTAAAATGAGACGAACAATATTTGGAAACGACTGCATTTCCTTTTACGACGGCTTGTCCTAGTGGTATTCAAACTATTTTAGCTGGTATTCACATCATTATATCTCCAAGTATCACCCACATCGCCWAGGATAAATACCACTTTATACTAGATAATCTACAGTTAGGTTCACCGATGTTCTATAATCCGTCACTTTACCTAAAACCAACAACTTAAGCTGGCAATTTATCTCCCCATCTGTTTACTAATGGTTTTGGCTGATTCTTAATCTTCAAACACCTTGACCTGACTGCCAGAAACACAGGCTTCAGATTTTGGGTTAAAGCTGTAATGCTATAAAGCGAAAGACTGAAAACATTCCAGTCATACGAACGATGCACCTTTGAAAAACATAAGATGTAGACATTCTCGTTGAATGAGCAGGGAAAATATTTGTAATGACAATAATAATAGTTACTTTGAATGAAAATCTTTCGACTATTCTTGGTTTGCAATCAATCCCAAGCGAGCACAATAACAAAAGGGATGTCCGCCATGTTGGAAGATATAACAAAAGAATTCATTGAAAATTCTTTTGTCAAATTCTTCCAACATGGCGGCTATGACGTCTATTGCAAACGAAGAATAGCTCGATCTGAGGAGCTAAGATTTGTCAACCCTGGCTCTGAGAAAACCGATTCTATTCGTTAAGAAAAGAAATTGGCTGATGAAAAAATATTAAATCATTTTTTCTAATATAAAGACAAAGCAGAGACGAAAATTTGCCGTTTTAAAAGCGATCTGCCGATGGATGAAAAAACAATAGAAAAACCAAAGGAGAGGAAAAAGCTTTTTTATGAGCTTGATATTGATTTACAGTACAAAGGCAAATTCATAAAAGTGTACTTGTAGTCACTAAACTCAATTCAAACCCGATTTTAAACTATATTTTCTTTAGGTCGTAGAATGTACGACCTCTAAACACGCAAAAACAGGAAACGACTTCCAAAAACAGTTGAACGACGGTCACGACAATAAATCAACACTGACAGGAAACCGTTTATCTCGTCACCTTTGCAAGACTTGCCATCTGAATCCAATACGAATCCCTTGCGACAACTACAAGCTGTTTTGCCTTGGGGAAGCTCGTGGCAGAAGTGTGTACACTTGTTGTAACCGCTGTTACAGGAGCTCTTGACAACTGCAACGAAAAGAAACGAAAAAATATCAGTCAAGTTTACAAAAAAATACACCGCAAAAAAAAAAAAAAAAAAAAAAAAAAAAAAAAAAAAAAAGAACAAAAAAAAGAACAAAACAAAACAAAACAAAAAACGTCAGCTAGTAATGCTAAGAATATTCCGAATTTCGATCGCGAAACTAAATTTGAAGTTAGATTTAATTCCATTTGACAAATTAGGATGAGCCTTAACTTGGCCGATACACTTTAAAAACACTTCTTGAGTACTTGTGTAAGATATTTTCTATCAACCAAAACAACACTCTTAATTAATAAATACTTGATACAAAGGAAATGCTTATTTGAGCCCTTCCTATCTTCGTTTTAAGTTCGTTATAACACTCAGGAAGAAAGATTAAAAACAAATGAATAAAGAATTAGAAAGCGATTGGAAGGAACCACCTATAACGATAACTAGACCAATAGCGAGTGGAACTTTGCAAATTATCGCAAAGATCTCTTCGTGCTTGCTAAAACATGAGATTTTCCTAAAAGTACAACTTTTTGAACGGTCAAAAATTCATCCATTACCGTGTAAACGTAGCCTTAGACGAAATAAAGAGTTTTTGATGAGAAATTAGAATAACGGCAATTCTTAATCGAGTGCGGGTCAGAGTTGCACTTATGAAAAAAATGCTGAATTGACTTTATCATTTCCGAGTCACCAAGTGAAGTTGAACATAAAAACAATCAAACTTGTTATTTGGAGGAAATACAATCCTTTACTGAGTTACTAAATACAATTTGATAAGTTATAAAGTTAATCCCTTTAAGATGTTCCAAAGTACCTCACTAGGAAGTCATCGCCCCGAGCTACAAGATTTATAGCCCCAGAGAGAACTGTGTTATAATGTTAACATGTGTGTACTAGACACACTCACGCACAAACGTTTTGTAATTTTTTTTGTTTGTTCAAATCTGCATTTTATTTCCAGAAACTTTATAAAAATGTTTTAAAGATTTTAAGAAGCTYGTTTTCAAAATAACAGCATAGTTTTAGGGTTTTTTTTGGTTGATAAATAATAGTAGCTTTTTTCGTGGGTTTGATTGAGCTGCTACAGAGTTTAAGATTCTCGTTTACGGCAAACGTGAAACGTCAGTTGACCATTAAAAAATTCCTTAAAATTAGTGAAAAGGAATCGCAAAAATCTCCAAGTAGTAGATAGACAAAAGACTGAATACTTGTCTTTGTCGTGAAGGTTTGCAAAAGGTAAAGTGAAATGTAGAAAACGATGAAAACGTGGTCACGTTTGCCGTTTGCGGGAAGGAAAAACGGGAATCCTAATCTGCCTACTATTGAGGTTTTTCGGTCGAGGTTTTCGTGAAGGTTCGAGTATCGATGTAGGTAAGAACCGCGGAAAGCTGTATAGAAGTCATGTTGAGTGGTACGATGTTCTAGAAACAGTCACGCTATATCAGGCGTAATGTATCTGTTCAATCCTTCAGTGGTGACTACTTCTGTGCAAGCTTGTGCAACAATCATTGGGTGGGGCTTCCATTTCAGTGAAGAGAGAGAGAGAGAGGGTGAGTGAGGAGAACGCAATTCTCACGCGAGCAGAGCAACTCATTATCGCTTGATCACGAAAAGTGCGCCTCGTTACGCTTACTAGCACTGCAAATCCTAAAACAAAAGGTCACCCTAAAAACCAAAAAAATCTTGAAAAAATGTTAAATGCTGTGTGTTAACCTCAACGCCTAAGGAACGATCATTTTCACAATTTTTGAAGTTCATTCACAGCGCGTATTCTTTCACTMGCGAACATTCTACAAGAAAGCTACGAAAATAACTACTATTTAGGTCCCATTTACCTGAGTGTAATGCTACATTCACGAACTCACGAAGTAGATGAGTTAAGAAATATATCTCAGTAAGAGAAAGAGTTATCTGATTTGATTTGAAGCGCAGGCCTTCACAAAGAGGAGATAACTAGCTAGAAATTAGTGTGAGCTGCGTCGGTGTTTCTAATGAAACAGTAATGATAAAAGGGTAAATTATGCAACGTGAAAAGATGAAAAAACTTACTGACGTTTCGAACGCTAGTACTTCGTCGGTGTAAAAGAGAGAGAGGTGGTAGAAAGGAGTGTTTATATGATAGAATAAGACAAAAGAAACCAATGAGAACAAGGTGGGTAAGGAAACAAAAACAAACAATCAAAAGACAAAAGACAAAAGAGTGGGTTAGTTAAAAGCAAAGCGTTCATTAATCCCGTTGGAACTAAGAGTGCCCAATATGTGAATAAGCCGCATTTCTTTGGTCTTGCGACAAAGGACTAGCGTTCGAAACGTCAGCAAGTTTTTTCATCTTTTCACGATGTAAAATTTACCCTTTTTTCATTACGGCTTTATAAAGAGATTAAAGAATTCAATGAATACGATCCTTGGGGTAGTGAACTTGATGATGTGCTAACCTGAAAATATGCAAGTCTTTTTAACAAGATTTTAAATAAAGGTTAATTGGTATTGATAGGCATTATCGCTGTTTCAGGATTTAAGATTCTTGGTCGCATTTCAACATAAATAAAACTATGATTCTGACCAAGTTGGTTGCTAAAATTTCAAACGTGAGAAAGAAAGAAATAAAGAAATATAGCCAAAAATGGCCGAAAAAGTAAGAAGAAAACTAGAACATAGAAAAATAAAATAATACGCCCAGTCATTTATAATCGTATTATGAATGATTTACGTAAACTACAATTGTTTTCAAATAAATTTGAGAGAAAATCTGTGTCCGCTAATCCGAAGCACTTTGAACATGAAACACAAAGGTACCGAACATTTCCTACTCTATGTTTCTGTCATACTGCGTTCATACGGCGTTAAGAGGGAAATCTGCGCCAATAGATAAACTATAATTAGAACAAGAAGAACTTCTTTTGGTCACGTATAACACGATATGCGCGCGCAGAGCCAGATCGAATATACAAGGGTAAATACACACGCCTACGAGGCCGTAAAAAACACACACACGACTAAGGAAAAACTGTAGAGAGTTTTTGTTGAAACCAATTTTTTTTAAAAAACGCTTTACTGAAAAACAACAACAACGACGACGACAACAAAAAAACAACAGAATAGCAAAAAAACTACCGCATTTTGATAAGGAACAGCGCATTACTGTGAATTTAAGTCAAAAAGGAAAGAAAAGTATTCTACATTATCTACACAAACACATTAATTATACTACATGTACAAGAGGTACACCATGTTGGTTTGGCCTTGACTCGTCTTCTGAAAGACTCTAGTTACAATCCTCACGGAGACTAAACATGGTTATGAATTGCTAGAGTGTATTCAGTACTTCATAAAACAACCTCTTTTGACAAACTTGTATTCCTCTCCTCTCCTCTCCTCTCCTCTCCTCTCCTCTCCTCTCCTCTCAGAACAATATACATATCAACGTAACTATGAACAAAACAAGACAATGTGGACGCCTCATGTATCGCTTTCGGTACCCGGTACCAAGATAACAGACCACAGGTGCTCTTTATATATGAAGATAAAAAGAGTCCAAAATTCCTAAATGAAATTACAGACTGTTCCAGTGTCTGTTTCGTGCATAGCCCTTCCGTAACATAATAATTTCCAGACGGGAAAGCAGTGTAAGTGAAAGGAGGGCAGTGTACGTAAATGTGACTAGCTGCCGATCTAAAGAATAGGAGAGATTCAATCTGGGTTTATTAGGCATATGTAGAAACACTTAGCAAACTATTACTGCACAAATATCAAACAAAGGTTGATGGGATAACATTTGAATTAGTCTGCTAAACTGTTGACGTTATGAAATTAAAATGGTTAAGGTCCTTATGAAATATTCGAAACATTTCTAACATCTTTCGGCTCTTTGAAATAAAAGTCGAAAATTATAACGTAAAAAAGGACTTAAATTAGGAATCTTATTACACTGTCCTAGGTGGTAGGAGTTTGTTAGATCTATACCCAAGACATTTTGGTTGAAAATAACTGAAGTAAATGCATATTTTTCACTATTATATCTTGTTGTTAAAAGGTTTTTTTGACACTATTATGTTGTCATGTAATGACTCTAACTCGTGTTTACTTAGTGCATATGCATTTGTAATAAAAAACAAACCATTTTTACGTCTGTGGGAAGATAGGTACTACAAGGAACACAAGAAATAGAAGCTGAACAGAGCAGCGAAATAAGAAAAGATTTAAGTCTGAAACGTTCTCCGCAATCACTGAATCTAATAAGTTTTGGAGCAAAGATTCCCTCCTTCTAACAAAACCAACTTAAACCATTAAAATTACTGTGGGCAAACCAAACAAATGACTAAGATAACTTAATAGTGCAATGCAAACATGAGGCAAGACCTTAATGTGACCCGCTATATACTCGTAAAAGCAGCAAGCCATTTTAGACTGGCTTAATGGACTGATATTTTGTTCAGTGCTTGGAGGTTCAGGTCAGGGACAAGAAAACCGTACATGGAATGATTATTAGTGCCAAATTATTGAGAACCTTTGTAATAATAAGAGTCGAACAGGTTTTGACAAAATCCTGATCTTTGAAGACCTCAGGGTTAATGAGAAAAAGTATTTGAATCTATAGGAATTTGAAGCGAATCTCTTTTCTATTTTTTTATTTTTTCCTTTCATCTTCGATCTTTTCTTTTTTCCACTCTCTTTCATTTATATTAAGTTTCATTGGTTCTATATTTTTCTCCCTTTCTTTCCCTCTCTCATTCTCTTTCGATGGTTCTCTATTCCTTTCTTTTCTTTTCTTTTCTTTTTTTCTTTTCATTCTTTCTTCTTCTTATGTTTCTCTTGGTTTATTCTTTACTTTTCTTTCTTTCTCTCTCTTTCTTCCTACCATCCTTTCAGTCTTTCTTTACATGTCTCTTCCTTTTTTCCTTTCATCCTTCCCAGTCTACCCGTTAGCGTTATACTAAAGACATGACAAACACATACAGGACACGATCATCAACGACCAGAACCACTCACCAAGGACGTGTTCCAAGTGTTGCCTCTTCTCAAACCATGTGGGTTAGTGAACGGTTAAGTTAGTCTTTAAACATAAGTTACCATAAGCCGATCCCATAGGAAATGAGAATCCCACCTAACGACAGACAATGTCCATTGATTCCAAATTTTTCAAACACCAAAAACAAACATTCATTAAAAATGCAAGGTTAACGCTGCGACACTGATGGTGTCTTTCTTTGTAGCATTAGTGATTCCGTGAGTGAAAGAGATCTCTTGTTGCTATTTCTGAGGCTATAGGCTATTACAAACAGTAACAAGAGACAGAGTAGTTGACAGGAACGAACGACAACCGGAAAAGAATAATGTATAAGATCCCTAAAGAATAAATTTTCTAAAAATAATAACGCGTCTATCAAAGCACTTCCACTCTTACCCAATATCTACTGTTTCAAAATAGTCTTTCTTATTTATCCTGGATTCGATTGCCTTCGAAGGAAGCAATCAGTAATCAAATCAAGGGCTCTATGACCTACTAGAAAACATTTGAAGAGGATATTTTGGTTCAAATGACGATGGTTATCAAAGAAAAATATCAAACGAGTGGGTTAATCCTAATTCAAATCTTATAACGATAAGAAATAGAAAATCTCCTTAAAATTAAAAACAATAAAAGTCTTAGATGTACGCATTATTCAGTTGAGATGGTTACTGTTAGGATACTATCGCCTTTGTTGGCAAGCGTTCAAATGTTATAGGGATTCAGCTTTGTACTGACAGAGCGATTTCTGGCTTGATTTTCGAGTGGTTCTCATGAGAAAAGTAATCAATGTCGGATACAAGTGTGATAATTCTATTAAACTACCATATTTGTTTATCCGAAGTTGAAAATGTTTACCAAAGTTACGAGTTTATTGAACCATTAGCAAACGCGCCAATTTGCTAATTTGAAGCGCGTGGGAAAACTTTGGTATTCGAGTGAAAATCGCTTAGAGAATTGAGTCAAAAAATGAAATTATCTTCAATCAAAGGTCAGAATCAAAAGTCAAGATTACTGGCTCCAATATTTAGTAAACGAACCAGATTTATGGCATCTGGTATCCAGTAAATTAGACAGTCTACACTAAATTCGATACAGTGTGAATTGAATTCGCCCATTCGACCGCACGAAAGAAGAGTTCAAGATGTAAATCACTATCGAGAATTTGGGAGTATAAATGTATGAATACATATTCGTTCTTTCAAGTTTTAAAGCAGTTTCCTCAAATAAACAAGCTCTTGAATAGATACTGTGTTAAATGAGAGTTCGATCGAGAGTTGAAAAGATGGTTTCCGTCAAGTTAGTGCTGTTGTTCTTGTGCTTACAACAGAACAGCGGAGGGCAGTGAGTCCGTTTCCGGTCGGGATCAGAATTTTCATTCCACAGTTAATTCAACACTTTGTCAAATAAAGACCGTTTTAGGTAAGGAAAGCCGACCTCTTTGATTACATGATAGGAAGACCACCAAATGTCCAATCATATTCCAAAACAATCCCTCGTATTTAAAACAATTTCGCCTCCACGAAGATAAGAAATAAAACTTTGCGTTTTCAAAATATTTTGGCCAACCTTCCTTGGTAAGATTATTCCCGGCCAATGATTTTGTGGCCTTTGTGGCCGGCCGATAAAGTACGATACCCTAGGGCTACTTTACAATAGTATAACCAGATTTCTGGGGATAGCCCGAGGGACATCCACTATTTAAAATATCTCCCAAAGAATCTAATCAACCAAATCAATTAAGCTTTTTAAAATTAAAAGAGACGAACTTACCTTTTATGTAAACGTCTTCGCTTCTTCTTTTTCTGTCTGGCGGAGGCGACCGTGTGTTCTTTCCACTTTCAGTACATTTGTGGTACTTCTCACTCCACAAATGCGCTTGATTTTTCAAACTTTTCGGATACGAATCGACCGCCACTTCCAAAAACAATCTGGCAGCAACAATCGAATAAAGCGGTCGCCGTAAATCGTAATGCCGCACTCTCGACCACGTTATTCCCAATCTTCGACGCACTAGTTTCTGTAGTGCGGCCAGTTGCTTGTATTTCCTCCGGTTTTGCGTCACCCCCCGAAAGATGCACTTCTCGACTTGCCACAAGCCACCATCGTTGGATGTCCTGTTAAACGAAGCTTCCACTATGGCTATTCGTTTGATCATGTCATGATCATCGCTGAAAATCTTGGTTTTCTCGAGTAACTCCTCAGCTTCTAGAATCACGTCGATGCCATTAGCATCAGGCACGAGGAGGGATGTTGGAATCGGCAGGCGATTTCGTCTCGCTTTGCCTTTACCAAGGCAGAAAGCTAGTGTCACAGTCCACAAAACCAAAGACAATCTCTGGAATTTCATAATGCGATATGTCCTCCTTGAAGATGTCAGAACCACAGTATAAATGGACTGACTTGATTTAATAATAATCAAGTATACCTAAGTACTCAGTGAATCTCTTGTCTTGCGATCCCAAAAGGGGACGTGCTCTTGTCGAGTCTTGCCTTATTCTATAGTTGTTGCTCTAATCCACTCGCGATCAACAGATTGTGAACCTGGATTGGGAAACAAGGGTATACGTTAATCCAACGCCGCGATAAGACAGTCACAAGAAACACAACTCGTGGACACTCTCGCTGCATGCGCTCCTTTTCTGATGACATCTGATCCGCGCAAGGATTACGATTTCTGCTGAGACACACTCATTACCATCAATGCAACAACAACAAAAATCCCCAAACCTGCGCGCAATTTTCACTCAAAACTCCAAGTTGAATTCCACCGGTCTTAAGCGTTTCTGTTTTCAAGTTATTATCAAGATTATGTTAAGATTTCTGTCATTAAATATTTTACGATATCAAGGTCACTTAGTGGTTTTTGTTTAGTCCTACTTGTACAGGTCTTTTTGGCTTAGCAAAGATTTTGCGCGCAGTATTTACCCAAGTGAAGAACAGTTATATGTTGGCTTCTAACATGGATATATACATCACCTGTTTTCTCGACAGTCGCGATGAACTATATGTATACACAGCGCGCTAAACGGTGACTCTAATCTACAAGAACACGAGCCAATGAATGGGGAACTGACCACCTAGGATATTTGATCCCACAATTCGTTAAATGTCAATGTCAAACGCGTAGAAACAACAACAAACTCGTAGCAAAATTTAGAACTGTTTGCGAGTCAGGTTTTCAGTGGAGTGGGTAAATATTTTTGTTTTGCTGTGGAATTAAAGCCAATCGCGTCTGCAAATCAACAGAAATCTTTATTCAAACAGTGTAAACTAAGCTCACATTCTTTACTAATTCAAAGTTCCGGTTTACCCGTGGAAGATTGTGTAAGTTCATTTAGAACTTCAGAGTAATCGCTGGCTACTTCAACATCCTTCGACCTCTGCGCTTAATTTACAGACTGATAATGCATGACTATAAAATAGCTGTTTCATAAAAATAGATGATAACTGAAGATCGTAGTGAGTGAGCTGAGACAGTGTTATACTCTTCACCTTTCGATATCTGATCAACATTCCGTCTTTCGAATTTTACGCTGTAATAATCGACATTAACCAAAGCTTCGTTTGCTTGTTTTAAAACCTAAGCTAAACGGAAAATACAAACTTAGATTATGTAAAAGAATATTCGCATAAGATCATTAGATCGACAAATTGTGGTCTAAAATAACTACTCGCTTACCAATATAGATGCTTGATTGTGTTTGCCGTACTTGAGAGATATCCTTGTTCTTGTAGCAGTAAATATGATATTCAGAGTAGTGTTTTGACGAAGAATTATTGGTAGTTTTTCAGGTCCGATCTGAGCTTGAGATTTGAACTTTATTGTAATCACTTTTCAGGCCGAAGGGCGAGCTTAAACCTTCTACAGCTAGTATAGTAAAGTAATAACCGTGGTTCAAGACCCTTGTGATCACTTTACCGCTATTGGATGGTTGATTTGTCAAACGGATGTACTCGTACTGATGATATAGTAAGAAGAGAACTCACTCGCTGGGGTCAGTGCCTCGCTTCTCGGATCATGTGTTTCTCCACGTAAGTCAGCTAGACCTCCGAGCTTCAAACGAGCTCAACGAAAGCAGTTAACTACTGCGATGAAATGTCGATGCGAAGTAAAGTGAAAATCAACCGTGTAGACCTGTAGATCGAAAAATATGCTGAGCGTTAATTGATTAGGAGAACGGATGTGGGTTGTTTCACTCATTACACGGAAGTCGGGACGTAGCGTTCGGCAAGTTATCACCCACAGAGGACATGAGCAATAGGCATAAACCTACCTACCTATCATTACCATACGCTACTACCTAGAATCAGCCTTCTTGCTCCTGGATCAGATAACTATAGTACACCCAAAAAGTGAGTGGATTATAATGACAGGTCTTTGGATAATGGACTGCTTGTTGGTTTGATGAAAGTTAAATGCCCAAYCCCCTCGCTGTCGGTGATCTGTTTCAAAGCAAAGGTCATTCTCCAGGTCAATGTTGCTTCAACACTTTGGCACAGACGTGTCAAATACCCCACTGAACAACAAGTCGCGCAAAAATTCGTGTCACAGTTATCAGCCTTTTTTCAACTATTACAAATGATTACAACTATAGAATAATCGTCTCAGCATCAGACGAAGTTCAACTATTATCATCTAGATCTTGCGCAAAGATTCTAACGACCGACTTAGGGCGGGAGAAAGGGAACAGAAATTTGTCCCATTTCCCGAACGAACGCACTCCACTTTGTATGACTTCTATTTTTGTTAGCGTTTTCAGTTCTGAAATGAAAGACCTTTTTTCCATGGGTTGGTGCCCATCATTTGTATTGTTTTTTCCAAAAAGTTCTGAACACAAGACTATGATATTTGCTTGAAGAGCAATTATATTCTCTCTATTCTCGCAAATGCAATCTTTTCATATCGATTAAATCAATATCATAGTTTACAATCATGTTATTTTACAGAGGTCAGCAAGCATTAGCCTTGTCTTAGACGCAAGTACATCTGGTACAGTTTTGAACTAAAACATCACTACAGAAGACGAATCCAAATAGTTCACGAGTTGCGCATACTTGGAGTATCGTCCCGTTGTTTAAATAAACTATCTAAACAAGAAAGAATGGAGCTTAGAGGCTCGTGGTCGCGGCGGTTTGCTTTACCAAGGTAAACTTACCGAACCTCAAAGGTCATTACATCTCGTTCTTTACCGTTTACGAGCTCTCATGACTCGTTTAACAAAAAATAAACAACATTCAGCCAAGTAAGTAGTTTTTGATTCATATTTGAAAGCCACAGAACTGACGATAGCTTTAAACACGATTCCAAAATTAAAAAAGGAATGAAACATTAATATTTAACTGGAAATTCGCGACGTACAAGGAAATACTTCAACGCGCCCTTTCCTGGTGATTCCCACAAATCCAGGAAGAAAATAGTTTGAACACAGCAAATCGTAACGGGATCTTCTTTATCAAATTTAATTTAGGATCCTTGAATTTTTGAATGAGTGGGTGGCCACAGGTGACATAGATGTGGCACGTTAATGTCAGTATTTGTTATTCAAGTAACGAAGCCCAATGTCTAGGTCTTTAGAAATGTCGTGAGAACTCACTGCAGAAGATGATATAACTAATCCAGAAAATTACATTGTAAAGGTTGCGATTCGAAGATCGCAACACCACACGCAATACAAATTTGGTTGCGGGTTACGGAAATGCGAAGAAGTTTCTGAAATATAACAGAAGCCTTGGTTAGTAGAAAATTACGTCACTGAAACGGCGTTCGTGACTCGCGCTTCATTCACTGGACAGTAGAGGAACAGTTATAAATTTAACAACGAAACTTTTAAAAGACCGTATAAGACCAACAAGATAAACGCTGTTTTAACCTAAAATACTCAGAAGATTCAAACAATAATAACAAATACAACAATGAGGCGAGGACAGTACAATTCTGTGATGACAAAAGTCTGTTAAAAACTTCCATCCAGAATTAGCTCTTGGCCGGTTGTCGCTCGCTCAGATATGTTGGTTCGCTACATGACGATCTAATAATAATAAAAGCGCAAACCGCGGAAAGAAATCTTTAAGACCGGTGATGGAATCTCTGGCTGGCTTTCCGCAGATTGATGAAATAAAAAACAGAACATGCACGTCTCTAAGTCTGCCAAAAAATCAGTTTTTTGAAGAAATGAATGTCTATTGTTTGTTCGTACAATGTTGATAAACTTGCTACAACTGATTCTTTATTCTGTTAAACCATCATGTCAAAAAACTACAAAGCTCATCTGATGAACCACTTTTATATTTGCTATGTCTCAAAGTCTGTCTTCCTTATGCCGGACCGTTAAATCAACTTGAACTACCGACCTCTCCCCCTCCCCCTTAATCAATATACGTTAAACTTCAATATCGAATTGATCTGGTGTGTACTATAATATTACACCGAGATAGTCCAGTAAACACCATCGAAAACATTTGATTCACACAGTTTTCCTCGATAAGCTTGGGTGTAATGATTTTCCTCGTTACAGACCACGTGTCATTTTCTTGAGTATGATTCTTTGATTGAGTTGTGTTCCATATTCATGCGTCTTCTTATACGCAGCCGTTAAACAAAGTAAAGATGCTCTAGAGATTGATTGACACGTGGTCTGAAATGGGAAAACATAACGCCCAAGATACTGAAGAGATCTATTTACTCCTTATTTTTACACAAGCCTTTGATTCTTTATTCCTAAAGCTCCCATATTTTTGATTTCTGATCTTCCATACCTCGTAATTTTTTGTCCCTTTTTTAAGCAGCCGAAAGGTTGGTATCAACAATAACGCTCCTAACAAACGAGTCACGAACATCACGTACACCACTCATCAACACAAACACATGGTATTTTCTGTTCATCGATCTCTTACTCTATTCATAGTTAATAGAGGAGAATGGTTATGAAACGTATTGTTATAGGTCTTTGTTCACTTTTTTCAAGCGTGACCCTGCACAATCCTTTGTTTTACCGTTGTTGGCAATGGTTGAGTGAACAGACCAAAATTTTTCTTTTGGCTGGTAGTTCAAAATACTTAAAGATTTATAAGAGATATTTGAATATTCCTTACAACAATCCCATAGACAAAGTTTATGTTTACTTATTTTGCAATTTCGGATGAGCATAAATCAAACATTGTGCACGGTCAAGACCGGTTCAACATCAAAAGCGAACAAAGACCTATAACAATAGGTTTCCTAACCATTCCCCTCCTTAATTCATGTTTCTTGTGTTTATCTGACATGAAGATTATCTCTTCCTACTGACTGTCCGCAAATTAGTAAGCAGCTCCGAGTCACCGTTTTAGATTGGTATTCCATATGACGAGATTATTGAACTTCAACATTTGCTAAACAAATTAATAAAGGATGATGTCAAGCGTTTGTCACGGGTATACACAGTTCACGCCAACTCTGGGAATGTAATACTGGAATATTTTGGACCGAAAACGCTAAATTAACTATCTACTAGAATTCAAATTGCAATAATGCACGTACTGTCTGCTTCAAGGTGTGCTATTGTGTATTTGGATAGACAAAAAGTCACTATGGACAACCAGCATCGCCGGAGCATTTCATGGAACCATGGGGAGGGGGGTTGGGGGGTGGGGGAGCAAAACGATACAGCACTTATGGGCATTAATTCCATAAATGGAACCGAGCTGATACACCCTGAACTATAATTGACTATGTTCTTTTTCTGGCAATATCTGCCTGGACATGCCTGCCTTTACTTACTGACAGATCATAATCCATCCAGGAATTCGTCTTGAATTCYGTACGATCTAACATTTCATTGGCCCATTTGTCATACCACTCAACAGTCGATACTAATATTATTGATATAAAGCTAAGTGTGTATGTAGTTTCATCACGGTGGTCTTAGATGCTTTGTGTCTTTTTCCCCGTCGCATTTTATTCTAGGATTAGCGAAGATCTACTTATTCCATATTTCGGCAAAAAAAAAAAAAAAAAAAAAAAAAAAAAAAAA